CACCCTCTCCCCCACAATGAGGGCTCTTTTCAGTTCCTCCAAGAACTCACGCTTGTTCCCTCAGGAACTTTGCACTTGCTGTCCCTTAATGCCTAGCCTTCTTTCTGGTGGCTCTTCTTGTCCTGCAGAAGTCAACTCAAACATGACATCCCCCTTGAAGGACCCTCCACCCCTACCCCACTCCTTACTCTCCATCACTTCCTGGGTCTCTTTGCAGCCCTTACTGTCCCCCTGAAATTACCTGGCTTCGGCATGTGTCCATGCCCTCTGGACTCTAAGCCACTGGAAGCAGTGAACTTGGTGGTCTCATGTGCCGCTGACAGCAGACCCCAGAACAAGCGGAGCTCAGGAAATACGGGAGGATTGATAGTAGTGTGGGTGAATGGACTTAGAGATATTGTGTCCAGACCACAAGGCATCAGCAGAGCCGAATATCAGCCAGGACAATGTGACCTTGAACCTGACAGCTTAATCCTGAAGCTGTATTGTCCCTACAGGATTTGGTTAAAAGTTCTGCTGCCTGAGTTGGCATCCCTGCTTTGTGAAGTTATTGTGTGGGCATGGTGGCTCACGCCTGTAATCCCAGCACTTTGGGAGGCCCAGGAGGGTGGATTGTTTGAGACCAGGAGTTCAAGACCAGCCTGGCCAACATGGTGAAACCCCATCTCTACTAAGAAAACAAAAAAAATTTGCCAGGCAAGGTGGTGCATACCTGTAATCTTAGCTACTTGGGAGGCTGAGGCAGGAGAATCTCTTGACCTTGGGAGGTGGACATTGCCATGGGCCGAGATCGTGCCACTGCACTCCAGCCTGGGCAAAAGAGTGAAGATCTGTCTCAACAAAATAATAATAAATAATAAAAACAAAAATAAATGACTGTGTGTCCTTAGGCAAGGCACTTAGCAACTATGAGCTTCAGTTTCATCTAAACCCAGGACGTTAGTGATTCTCCCTCTAGTGGATGAAATGAAGTAATGCAGATAAACCCCTAATGCAGGGTACCTGCCAGTCACTGCAGTAGCTGTGGCAATTGTCACCTTCGTCCAAGCCCATCCCGCTTTGAGAGCCTAGAGAGAGTGGGCCAGAGGTTAACCCCCGACTCATCTGCTTCCCCACGCTGGGCATCTGGGTGTGCCAGGGCGTTCCGCCGCTGGTCAGACAGGTTTTGGGGCCGAGGTGGGGCTGACCAGGGTTAATTAGAGGGAACTGGCTAGCAGCAGCTGGGGAGGGGGCTGGGCAGAGTCCAGGCCTCCAGAGCCCCTGGGACACAGCAGGTGTGTGCTGCCATGGGCCGGGGCTTGAACTCTGCCAGACTCAGGCGCCAAAAACGGCGCTTGCGACCTCGGGTCCAGAAGCCCAGGCAACAGCTGGAGGTGAGTGGTCATCAGAGAGCCCCATCCCCACCCTTGCCCTGGGCCCACGCGTCCTGTCTGCCCGGAACCTTCCCTCTAAATCTCTGGGTCTTGCTCATTCTTCCTCCCTCATTCTCCCTTGCTTTTGTGTCTATCTTGGACACAAGGCCCCCTTAGGCTTTCTCCCTAGGTGTCTGTCCCTCCATCCCCATCTCTCTGCCTGCCCAGTCTCATCGGTGCCTCTCTGCCTCTGTCCCTCTGCCCTGGCCCCCACAGCAGCTCCAGCAGGAGAACCATGAGCTCCGGCGAGGCCTGGCAGCCCGAGGAGCCGAGTGGGAGGCCAGGGCCGTGGAGCTGGAGGGGGACGTGGAGGCCCTGCGGGCCCAGCTCGGGGAGCAGCGCTCGGAGCAGCAGGACAGTGGGCGAGAACGGGCACGGGCCCTCAGCGAGCTCAGCGAGCAGAACCTCCGGCTCAGCCAGCAGCTGGCTCAGGTGGACAAGGTGGAGGAGGACGCCTTGGTCCCCAGTGGGGAGTGGGTGCATTGGGCATGGTGCTGAGGCTCCTCTGCCCCCCTTTCCACCTCCTCAGGCCTCCCAGACTGAGCAGGAACTTCAGAGGGAACTGGACACCCTTCGGGGACAGTGCCAGGCTCAGGCACTGGCTGGGGCAGAGTTGAGGACACGGCTGGAGAGTCTGCAGGGGGAAGTGAGTTTCAGCTGGGGCTGGGGGATTGTCTGAGACAAAAAAGCCGGGCCGGGGGCTGGGAGGGGGCTGCCCCCCTCCCCAGCTCTCAGGCCTTTCCCCAGAACCAGATGCTGCAGAGCCGCCGGCAGGACCTGGAGGCCCAGATCAGAGGCCTGCGTGAGGAGGTGGAGAAGGGCCAGGGCCGACTGCAGACCACGCACGAGGAGTTGCTGCTGCTGAGGCGGGAGAGGCGGGAGCACAACCTGGAGGTGACCTGCAGGGCTAGGGGATACAACTGCCTGGACCCTTAGCAATGGCTTCAGCGTTTTCTGGGAGATGAGGCCAGAGCTGGATCACTGAGAGGTCCAGAGGCTGGCCCACAAGAGCATGGGCATTAGCCCATGGGCAAGTGGGAGCCACGGAAGGCTGTTAAGCAGGGGAGGCATGCTCTTAGAATACATCAGAGCCTGGCAGCTGAAAAGGCAGGGAGGGGGCTGATGCCAGAGCTCAGGCCAGGAATGACAGCCCCTAGACCATGGCTGGGCAATGGAGATGGAGAAAAAGAAATGAAAAGAGGACGTGGGGTCTGATGTTAGAGATCAAAGGAGTCTGCACTTTGGGGTCAGCTTGCCTGCCTTCGCATCCCAGTGCCCCTTTTTACTACTGTGGGACAAGCAGCCTCAGTAGCACCGATAAATGCTGCATGAAACAATTAGTGAATGCGGAGGTAGACTGGGCAGGGGACGGAATAGGGCTCTTCGAGGTGGGGCCCTGCTTTATAGGCGAGGAAATTGTGTGTCTGCTGAGGGAGGTGCATGGCCCAAGGCGCCCAGCGATCCAGGAACGGGAACAGCCTGGGCCGATGGGGTGCAGGGCCCTCCACGGCGCCCCCGCGTGGACCTGCCGCGGGATGCCGGCGCTGGGTGTGTCCCGCTGACCACCTGCGCTTCCGTCTGCGGGACCGTCCACAGCTGGAACGCGCACGGTCCGAGGCCGGGGAGGCGCTGAGCGCGCTGCGGAGGCTGCAGCGGCGCGTCTCGGAACTGGAGGAGGAGTCACGCCTCCAGGACGCCGACGTGTCGGGTGCCTCGTTGCAGTCAGAACTGGCCCACAGCCTCGAGGACGGCGACCAGGGCCAGAGCGCCGAAGCACGCGGAGACACCCCGGTGAGCTCGTGGGCTCTCAGCTCCCTTACCTGTGCCATCGAGAGGGTCGCAGGCTCCGCCTTTCCTCCCTTCCCTAATAGACTCCACACCACCAACCCATTTCTTTGGCCCACAGACCAGCCGGTCCCCAAAGACCCGAGAGGTATCCAGTCCCCAGCCTTCACCCCTGGAAGAGAGCTTAGAGCCCCCCAAGAAGCGAACATCCCTCAGCCCAGCGGAGATACTGGAGAAGGAGGCGGAAGTGGCCAAGCTGCAAGATGAGGTGGGGGAGAGGGCACTATGCTGGATGCAGGGCCCCTCTAGCTGTCAGTTTCTGTCTCCCATGTCCACCTCCCAGCCTTTGCCCACTAAGCTCCCTATACCTGGATCGGTCTTCATCTCAACAAACTTACTTCAAGAGCCAGCCTGCATGCCACCTCCTCCAGGAAGACTTCCTAGACAGCACCTCCCCGCTTAGTTCCACTTCCAGTGCTTCTCCCTGCATCCCTCCTGCAGGGTTATACCACTCCAACTAACCCTGCTCCACCCCACCCTGCACCAGCCTGAGGGTCTCAGAGGGCTCATCTTGGAGTCTCCAGCACAGGGCTACAGCTGCCTGGGGTGTCTGTCGCCGGCAGAAGAGGGCTGGGGAAAGCCAGAGTCGGGGCTGCTGGGAGAAGCAGGGACTGAAAGGCCCATTGGCCCATCTGCCGCACGGCCCCTCCTCTGCTCACAGATCTCACTGCAGCAGGCAGAGCTGCAGTCCCTGCGGGAAGAGCTGCAGAGGCAGAAGGAGCTGCGGGCGCAGGAAGACCCTGGGGAGGCCCTGCACAGTGCCCTCTCAGACCGGGACGAGGCCGTGAACAAGTAAGCCTCAAGCCATCCACCACCACCCCAGCGCCCTCTGGGCCCTCCTGGGCTCCTGATTCCTCTTCTGATACGGGTTATAATGATCCCCACTCCCACCCAGGGGCCCACTGACCTCCTTGATCTAGGTGTTGGCAGCCCTCCTCCCGTCCGGGTCCAGAATTCCCCCGCCACCCCGGCTCCCTGAAGCCCTAGCGCCCTCAAACGCGTCGTCCGCCCCTCCCCGCCTAGGGCCCTGGAGCTGTCCCTGGAGCTCAACCGCGTCTCGCTGGAGCGAGACTCCCTGTCCCGGGAGCTGCTGCGCGCCATCCGCCAGAAGGTGGCGCTCACACAGGAGCTGGAGGCCTGGCAGGTGAGGGGCGGGGTCCGTGTGCGGAGGAGGGCGGGGAGGGGGGGACCTGTACTGAGCCGACCACGGCCTCCCACAGGACGACATGCAGGTGGTGATCGGGCAGCAGCTGCGCTCACAGCGCCAGAAGGAACTGAGCGCCGCCGCGTCATCGTCGACCCCGCACCGTGCCGCGCCCCGCTTCTCGCTGCGCCTGGGCCCCGGGCCCGCCGGTGGCTTTCTCAGCAACCTCTTCCGAAGGACCTGACGGCTGGGCCCAGGGGCTGCCCTTGCCCGCTTAGGGGCTCACTTTCCTCTTCTGGCCAATTAAGCGACAGGGCCTGGATTGTCTTCCAAAAGGAGCTGATGCCCTCCCCACCCCAGGATGCTGGGCAAGGGCTCATCGGGAGCAGGGGCTCATCCGGAGCAGGGGCCAGCTTTGTGGGGCAGGAGCTCCAGGTGGGTGGCAGGGGCAGGTGAACAGAGCTATTTTCCGAATCAATATAGGTCTATCTTTTCTAGGGCAGGAATGGGGCTGGGTATTTATGTATCAAGATGGGGCAGAGTAATATATAAATCACTCCACCGATTTGGTCTCCATTCGTGGAAAGAAAGAGCACGGAAAAAAACCCTGAAACTTTATTGTAAAAAAGAAAATGAAAAACACTCTAAAACCCTGGGCTGGCTGGGGGTGTCGTCGGAGGTCAGAAGGACAGGGAGAAGGCTCGGTAGCCCAGGTTGGTGAAGACATCCACCCGGCAGCTGTTACCTGCAGCTGTCAGGACCTGGAGAAAAGAGGGGCATGACTGGCCTGCCCACACCCCTGCCTCCCAGCCACCCCATGGCCCCTGCCAGACCCACCTTGCACTCAGGCGCGGCGGGCTGCTGGTTGAGGCTGAGGCTGAGCAGCCCTGGGGAGGAGCCAGGCACCTGGGCCTTCAGCTCCCCGCTCAGCTGCCACTGGTTGACACAGCGGCCCTGGCCAGCCGACAGAATCTGCAGAGGACAGGGAAGGTGCTCAGGGGTCATGACTGAAGGGAAGAGTCAGTGGGGGTGGCAGAAGTGAGAGACAGGGACTCACCAGGTCCTGGTAGAAGGTGACATGCTTCTGTGGCGCCCGGATGGGGAAGACAGTGGTAGGTGTGGAGGATCGGAGGTGCCAGAGGGTGAGGGCTGGGCCCCCTCCACAGACCTGGACAAAAAGGTGGGAGTCCCCAGCTGTGAACTACAGGCCCACAGCTGACAGGGCCCGGAGCTGCCATCCAATCCCACAGTCTGTCCAGCTCACCATCCAGTCGGAATCAGTTGCCAAGCATCCGATCCAGCGCCCATTGTGGGGCCTCGAGCACTCCTGGGCGGCGGGGGAGGGAAAGAGGTGAAGACATGCAGAATTCAAGGAGCAGGAGGGGAAGAGGACAATGGCCATGGACAGACCCTCACCTCGTGCTTATAGACCTCGATCGTCTGGACCTCCTTGGCTGTGCGCAGGTCTGCGGGGAAAGAACTGTGAGTCGTGCCCCACTCACCTCAGCCTCCTTCACTGCCATCTTGCCCTCCAGCCAGCCACCTCCTTACCCCAAAGTCGAACAGCTCCATCCTCGCCACCTGACAGCACCTCTGGGCTCCTTTCCCGCAGTGCCAGGCAATGGATGTAGTCTGTGTGGCCCCGGAGGACCCGCTGCACGTAAAGGGGCGATGTCAGGAGGAGACCTAGGAAGAGTGCCTCTCCCTGGCCTGGACCTGCTCTAGGGCTCCAAGACCCTGCTCACCGTGAAAGTCCCAGTTTCAAGGTCCATAGTGTGCAACTGACAGTCTCCCCCAGCCAGGATGAGGGAGTTCTCCTGTGGAGTGAGCAGGGTGAGGCAGGAAGTCAATGTCAAATCAGGGTAGGCAGAGGGTGAAGGATCAAAGTTTGGACAAGAACAGTCACATGGGGCTCAGACCTTGGGGACCAGCAGCAGAGCATTGATCTCAGGCACTTCCAGGCTGGTCCTGGGGAAGGAAAGGCAGGGTCAGTGAGGAAGTCACTTCACCCCGATGCCCCCTCTATCCACGTGGCTCTGGCTCACCTGTACGGAGGCTGACGATGCCACAGCTCCTTACACCCCTTCAAAAGGGAAAATACCAATTGACCTCAAAGGCTCTCTCTGGGTCCAGGCACCCCAGCCCTTTCCCGAGCTCAACTCCTTACCTTCTTGAGCATCTCCGCCCAAAGCCAGGCCTTCACCTCCCCATCCCCAGCACTAAGCAGATGTCGATCGGTAGAGACCATGCTATAGACGGGCCCATCATGGGCTAAAGAGAAATGCAGAACTGAGTCGACCAATTCCACCCAAAGTCCCGAAGCCAGACTCCACAGCTATACCCACCTTGGAAAGTCATCACTGGCTTCTTACTTTCCTCTTTAGCTTCGGAGCTCAAAGCAGCAGACAAGCTGCAGGGGACAGCGGAGGGGACCCAGGAGTCAGAAACAGGGGCATCCGTCCCATGAGGGCCAAGTGCCAGGGCTAATGGGTGGACAGCGGCAGAGAGTACCTGAAGATGGCAATCTGCCCATAATTGTTGCCAGCCGCCAGAAACTTCCCACACGGTGAGACAGTCTGGGAGAAGATGGTCATATGGAGCCGCTGCAAGGCCTGGAACACCTCTGTCTGCAGGGAAGAACTGGATGAGGCCTGCCTGGGATGTATGAAACCTCCCATCCACAGACTCCTTCCTGCTTCCCCCAACACCTGCCAGGCCTCCCACTGTCCTGACTTCTCAGCCCTCTTTTGAGGTGGCCTGGCCCCAAGCCAGCACTTGCCCATGCAGTCCCATGGGCGGCTCCAAGAAGACACTGAAGAAGGGGTGAGTCGAGGTGATGCCTCAGGGACCTCTGAGCAAGCACCCAGCACTCTCCTACCAGCTTCCTCAACTGTCAAGTGGAGCTCACAGAAGATTCCATCACAATTAGATGAGCTAGTGTATAGACAAGAGCTTTACATGGGGCTGTCACTCAGTGCTGAAGCCGGGTGTGGTGGCTCATGCCTGTCATTCACCACTTGGGGAGGCCAGGAGTTCGAGAGCAGCCTGGTCAAAATAGTGAGACTCCGTCTCAACAAAAAACTTAAAAATGTGGGGCCGGGCGCAGTGGCTCACGCCTGTAATCCCAGCACTTTGGGAGGCCGAGGTGGGCGGATCACCTGAGGTCTGGAGTTCCAGACCAGCCTGACCAACATGGAGAAACCCATCTCTACTAAAAATACAAAATGAGCTGGGAGTGGTGGCGCATGCCTGTAATCTCAGCTACTTGGGAGACTGAGGCAGGAGAACTGCTTGAATCTGGGAGGCAGAGGCTGTGGTGAACCAAGATGGAGCCATTGCACTCCAGCCTGGGCAACAAGAGTGAAACTTCATCTCAAAAGCTTGAATCTGGGAGGCAGAGGCTGCAGAACCAAGATGGGAGCCATTGCACTCCAGCCTGGGCAACAAGAAAGTGAAACTGTCCAAAAAAAAAAAAAAAAAAAAAAAAAATGTGGCCAGGCATGGTGACTCACACCTGTAATCCCAGCACTTTGGGAGGCTGAGGCAGGAGGATCACCTGAGGTCAGGAGTTCGAGACCAGCCTGGTCAACATGGTGAAACCCTGTCTCTACTAAAAACACAAAATTAGCTGGGCATGGTGGCACACGCCTGTAGTCCCAGCTACTCAGGAAACTGAGGCAGGAGAATCGCTTGAACCCAGGAGGCGTAAGTTGCAGTGAGCTGAGATCGTGCCACTGCACTCTAGCCTAGTTGACAGAGACTCCGTCTCAAAAAAAAAAAAGTGCTTTGCAAGAACTAGAAAATAAAAGAAAAAAAAGGGGGGCTCTACTACCCCAACATAGAAAAACGTACTGATTTATAATCCCTACTCTCTGACTTGCGTTAAGCCCCTGAGGCACTTCTGGGTTACTCTCCCGCCCCCCTGGTCAGCGTCTGAGTTCCACAAATAGCCCAGGCAAAATAGGACTCAGGGCACAATTCCCTGCCCGCCCCGTCCCAGCCATGAATGGACTACAAATCCCAGAAGGCAACGCGCACACCACGTCCGTCTCACCTGACCCAGCGGTACAGCGAGTGGCACAGCTCGCTCCATCTCCAGAACTACAAGTCCCAGAGTGCTCCGCGTGCGACGCAACTTCACGAGGCCTTACGTGCCTACAGCGGTTCCTCTCCGTGGCGCCCTACTGCCTTCAGCGCGAAGGTGGGTGCTGCGTACCTTCCTGAACCCCAGGAGCCGAGGTGAGCGCCGCGAAGACCCCCGACATTAAGAAGTGGTGTCCACTGCAGCCCCGCTAAGCCGGATACCCTCCCCCACCCCGAGGAGCAAGCCTGCCTTCCGCCACGCGCCGCCCGTCTTCCGCGCCCGCGCAGAACCTCGCCGCTGTGCCCGCCTAAAGCCACGCCCATCCTCGCTGGGCCACGCCCTCAGAGACTCCTCCCCTGTCGCCCAGATCCCACCCGCAGGACCCCAAAACCCAATGATCCTTCAGCAGCCCTTGGAGCGAGGCCCCCAGGGTGGGGCCCAGCGCCTCCCGCGGGCCGCCTTGGAGGTGACTCGGGGCCTGGACGCCAGGTGCGTGTGGGGGACCAGGGTGGGCCTGACCAAGGGCCGCAGGAGCTTTGGCTGGGTGCTCAGGGCTGGTCTGCAGGATGAACACGGGGTGGGGCGAATCGGTGGGGCTTAGGCGTGAGCTGAGATGGTATTGGGGCTGCAGCTCAGGGTCGAGACTTCCGAAGTACGCTGCTGGATGGCCCAGGAGAGGGGAGACCAGCACCAGCTGAGACAGTAATGGGCTTGGGGCTCCTGGCTGATGCTGCAGGCTCAGGCGGGCATATCCTTGGGAAGGGGCCAAGAGGGTGGGGTGCACCAGGCTCTCTTTTTTTCCCAGCTCCCCTCTCCGAGGAGCTGTGCCCATGAGCACCAAGCGGCGCCTGGAGGAGGAGCAGTGAGTTTGGGGGCAGGGAGGGACTCCCAACGAGAGCTCTGTCACCTCTGGTCCCCAACAGGCTGCCTCCTGTCTCAATATCCCAGCCTGCCTCTCTCCCATCTCTCCCCAGGGAGCCTCTGCGCAAGCAGTTTCTGTCTGAGGAGAACATGGCCACCCACTTCTCTCAACTCAGCCTGCACAATGACCACCCCTACTGCAGCCCCCCCATGGTCTTCCCCCAAGCCCTGCCCCCACTCAGGTAGGCTCCTTCACTGGCCAGGCCTTCTGCAGAATCACAGACGGTCCTCGCAGCTGACCTCAGGCCCTGCCTCATCGTGCCATTTTTAGCTCTAGCTGACCTCTGGGTTGTTTCTCATCTTGGCTCTTTGGAAAGTGCTGGGAACCCAGGAGTCCCTGGGGACCTGGACCTGGTGGGAGGTGCTCAGCTAGGCCAGCCTTAGCCCCATGCCCTGACAGTCATTTCTTCTTCTAGAAGCCCTTGCTCTGAGCTGCTTCTCTGGCGCTACCCTGGCAGCCTCATCCCCGAGGCCCTCCGTCTGCTGAGGCTGGGGGATACCCCCAGTCCCCCCTACCCTGCAACCCCAGCTGGAGACATAACGGAGCTCTGAGTGCTGGTGGACTGCCCCTCCCACCTTCCTTCTTCCCCACAACAGAAGAGACCAGCGACTCCTGCAAAGGGACAAGGTTCCTCCCTCTCCTGCAGACCAGGCATCTGGGCACCAAGACCTTCCCTCAACAGAGGACACTGAGCCCAACGGAGCTCTGGGATGGGAGGGGTGGGAGCATGGGAAGGGAGGCATCCCACCCCCAAGAAGAACTGAATAAAGATTGCTGAGCAAAGGAAGGCTTCAGTCTAGAACCTGGGGCTTTTGGGGATGGTGGAGAGGGCAGAGGTGCGGGATGCTGGGGTTTCTCCTCAAGATCTTCCCTGGAAAACTGTTAGGGCCAGCCAGGTCCTGGCCGGCTGAGTTCCAGGCATTGAGAATGTGTGAGTCAGCGCCTCACCCCCGCCCCCGCGGCTGGCTGACTCACTCCCTCCCTCCAGCTCAGGGGAGTCAGTCGGGGATCACTGCCTCTCCAAACCATTTAAAGTTAAAGATTCTTTTATTAATAAATTCTCCCTCCCCTCCAAACTCTCCCCAAAATAAATATCTCCTCCCCTCTTTAGGGAGTTGGGGGGGGGTCGGTATTTTAGGGCCAGCCCTCCTAGTGGGCCAGCCCCCTAGTGTTAAAAATAGGTCCCTAACCCCCCAGGGTGACCCCCATGGTGAAATTTCAGGACATCTGAGTGAGTGGGGCCTAGTGTCAAGTCTGCCCCCCAAGTCAGCCTGGCCCCCAGGGCCTCTAGGAAGGAGGACACGCCCCCCTGTGCAAATGCTGCAGTTCCTTAGTCAGTGTCAGCTGTTTTGTGTGAGCCAGCGTGAGGCTCCCTTTCTGTTCTAGGGCCAGAGGCAGGGCAACCAGACACCTTGGAAGGTTCCCCTGAACCCTGGGCCCAGGACTCAGAGGTGATTCACCGCCCCCCACCCCCCTTGTGGTTGGAGGAGCTTGGCTCCTGCCGCGTCTGGGAGGCAGAGACTGGCTCTAGAATGGATGAATGAATGATGAGTGGGCGAGCCCCGGCTGGCAGGGGGCACATTGTCACTGGATCAGCGCCACAGCTGGGCAGCCCTCTCCGCCGGTCTCCTCTATGGGGGCTGCAAGATAAGAGGTGGGGTCGTTAGGGGCAGAGAAAAGGTCGAGTGCTGACAGGGCTGGGCAGGCCAGGGCGCACTTACTGGTGAACTTCTCTCTCCTGCGGCATCGTCTCCAGACCAGAAAGCCAGAAAGCAGCCCCAGCACGAAGGTCAGACTCAGAGCGCCCCCAAGGATGGGCCAAAGCAGCCGGAAGGGGGCAGGAGGTGCCGCAGCGCCTGGGGGCGGGACTCGGAATCAGACCTCGCCCCTCTCCAGGCCAGCCCCGCCCCCTAAGACTGAGCCTTCAGCCTTCTCCCAACCGTGGCCTCCTCCCTGACCCGGGCCACCTTCCAACTCCCACCTTCTCCCGATTGACTTCCCCGATGCAAAGCTCTCGGCCCCCCTCTCCGCACCAGCCACCCTCTCTCCCAGTCTGGGGTCCGCTGGCCACTGGCCCTGCACCCCACTCACAGCCCAGGCAGAAGTCGCTGTGCGGTCGCGCCCTGCAAGACGCGCAGTCCATGCATTTGTCCAGGTCCGCGCTCCAGGAACTGCCGCGGGAGCAGGGGGCGGTGCCTGGGGAGGGGGCCTCGGGTCAGAGGCTGGGGGCGGGACTCGGCTATTCTGGGGTCTGAGGTCAGGGTCGGCCGGCTCGAATAACGTGAGTCACTGGCGCCCTCCCCGCGCATTCCTCACAGGTGACCGCACGGCCCGACCGGGACACGGCAGCTCCGGGAGGGAGGGCGTAGCGCGGGACGCTGGGGGTGGGGGGGGTCAGGTCCCCACAACCCCCCTGCCGCCGGCGGGTGACTCACTCCTGGGCACCGGGCCCGACCCCGGTCCCTCCCCCCGCATAGCTGGGCACTGAAGTCACCGGATGGAAGGGGGCACCCCACATGGTATAGAGGGCACAGACCCTAGTGCCTCTCGACGGCCTCCCCAACTCGTCGGTCACTGGGGCTAGTTAGACCCTGTACTGACCAGGCTGGGGGCGTGCCCCTTCCTAGACTAAACATCCCGCCCTCACTTACTTTCTCTCTCCACTTCCAACTACTTTCGGAACCGAAGAACCCACCCCAACCCCAATTGGACGGTGGGAGAAACTGAGGCCCGGATTGTGAATGAAACTTGGAGAGTGATGGAAGTTCCCACAGCCGGGAGCGAGCTGTTAGAAGGCCACCTAAACCCAGATACCCACATCCGTCTGTTCCCCCAGTTCCGCGCTGTTCTCCAGGCACCCAATCCGGCTCCCGAGCCCCGGACCGGGGTTCTCCGACCCCCAAGTCCCGCGTACCTGGCGCTTGCTCCCCCGCCACGGAGCGCAGCAACGCCAGCCAGAGCCCCAGCACGAGGAGCCGCAGCAACCGGCGCAGCGAACCCCGAGCCATAGTGCACGTCCCGCGCCCGCCGCTGTCTGCGCCCGCCGCCGGCCGGCAGGGACCCACGGCGGCCGCCCCGCCCCCGCCCCCGCCTTCCGGGGCGGAGCTCTCGCCTCCGCCCGCCTTGAGTTTGGCTGCGGGACGCCCCGCCCCGCGGGGCCCGCTCAGTTAAGTCATTCATTCAACAAAGTCCTGGTGCGGGAGCTGCCAGGACCCCTCAGGGACGCAGACCCCGCCCTTGCCCAGCAGGTGATCTAGTCCAGCGCGCGTGGGGTGGGGAAATAAAAAATCAGACACGAGTGCTCGCTTCGGCATCTCATATAGAAATCAGACATGAACGGCCGGGCGCGGTGGCTCACGCCTTTAATCCCATCAATTTGGGAGGCTGAGGCAGGCGGATTAGGAGGTCAGGAGTTCGAGAGCAGCCTGACCAACATGATGAAACGCCGTCTCTACTCAAAATACAAAAATTAGCCGGGCGTGGTAACGCGCGCCTGTAATCCTAGTTACCCAGGAGGCTGAGTCAGGAGAATCACTTGAACCCGGGAGGCGGAAGTTGCAGTAAGCCGAGATCGCGCCACTACACTCCAGCCTGGGCGATAGAGTGAGAGTCCTTCTCAAATAAATAAATAAATAAATAAAATCAGACACATGAACAATCCATGCACAGATCACTGCAGCTTCCTTTTTTTTTTCCCTCCCCTTGAGATCGCGTCTTCCTCTTGTTCAGCCTGGAGTGCAGTGGTACGATCACGGCTCTCTGGGCTCGAGTCTCCCACCTCAGCCTCCCAAGTAGGGACCACAGGCACTGCGCCAGCACACACGACTAATTTTTGTATTTTTTGTAGAGACCAGGATCTCACTATGTTGCCCAGACTAGCCTGGCCACTGCAGCTTTCTTAAGGCCCCTGGGGGTATAACAATTAAACCTGAGGTCAGGAGTTCGAGACCAGCCTGGCCAACATGGTGAAACCCCGTCTTTACTAAAACCAAAAATAAAAAAAGAAAGAAATTAGCTGGGCGTGGTGGTGGGCGCCTGTAATCTCAGCTACTTGGGAGACTGAGGCAGAAGAATTGCTGGAACCCGGGAGACGGAGGTTGCAGTCAGCTGAGATAGCGCCATTTCACTCCAGACTGGGCGACAGAGAGGGCCCCCATCTCAAAAAATCAAAACAGGCCGGGCGCTGTGTTTCAGGCCTGTAATCCCAGCACTTTGGGAGGCTGAGGCGGGCGGATCAGAGGTCAGGAGATCGAGACCATCCTGGCTAACATGGTGAAACCCCATCTCTACTAAAAATACAAAAAATTAGTCAGGCGTGGTAGTGGGCGCCTATAGTCCCAGCTACTTGGGAGGCTGAGGCAGGAGAATGGCGTGAACCCGGAAGGCGGAGCTTGCATTGAACGGAGATCGCGCCACTGCACTCCAGCCTGGGCGACAGAGCTAGACTCTATCTCAGAAACAAACAAACAAACAACAACAAAAAAAATCATAACAACATAAAAATAATATTATCTGGCCGGGCGCGGTGGCTCAAGCCAGTAATCCCAGCGCAGTGCGAGGCCAAGGTGGGCGGATCGCTTGAGCCCCAGAGTTTCGAGACGCCTGGGCAATATAACAAGACCCTGTCTGTACAAAACATAAATTAGCTGGGCGCGGTGGCGTGTGCCGCCTGTAGTTCGAGCTACTCAGGAGGCTGAAGCGGGAGGATCGCTTGAGCCCGGAAGGTCGAGGCTGCAGTGAGCCGTGATCGCACCACTGCACTCCAGCCTGGGTGACACAGTGAAAATATTTCTCTAAAATAATACCAATAGTTTGCCCTGTAATTTGTAACTTAGGACGTAGTTACATAATAAAAGGCAGACTTATCTCCATTTTACAGACTAGGAAACGAAGGCTTGGGTAGGTTAGGTGAGTTCCCCATGTCATCGCGCTGCTTAAGTGGCAAAGCGGAGACTCAAGCTCTGTTCTCCCCTAAGCCTGGCGCCCTCCACCCTGGGTGAGTCTGGCAACTACCCCAGCCTCCAGCGCCCCCCTCTGACAAGCCTGGGATTCGCACGCCCGCTGCCGTCGGGGACAGGGTCTCTGCCCCTCCTCCGGGGCGGTGGTCCAGTGACGTCACCGCTTCTTTAAGACCCCCGCCTCCGCCCCGTCCCGACACTCGGCCTAGGAATTTCCCTTATTATCTTCGCAGGTGAGTCCCGGGCAAGTGTGAGTGTTGGAGAGACGCCTCTTGGGGCCGGGTGCAGGGTGCTGGCGGCGTGGGTAGGGGTGCGTGCGAACTCGGGGTGCGTGCGAACTCGGGCTGCGGCCACCTGGATGCGCGAGCCCCTCAGGGGGTCGGGCGGTCTGCGCCCAAGCCGCCGAGGTGATCGGGTCCTTCGAGGCTCCCAAGGGTTAAACGCCCCTCCCCCCTCCCCAGGGACAAAGACACCGAAACCCTGCGCGCCCCTCCCCCACCCGTCTTGCCTTTCGGGGCGGGGCGCCCCTCCCCCTTCCCCCTCGCTTGGGGGAGCAGACCTTGCGGCCACTGCAGCTATAGAACCCTTCCTAGCCGAGCGGCTCCCAGGCTGGAGTGGTCGGGTGGGCCGGGGCGCCCTCGAACAGAGTCGGGCCTGCAGTGCATGGAAAAGAAAGGGGCAGGGGCACACTCACAGGGGAGAGGCTTGGGGCGCCTAGACCAGCGTGGCCCCGACCCTAGCTCGGCCAGAGGCCTAACTGCCGGACCTGGGCGTTGGGGCAGCCTGCCCCAGCCAGTCTCCCCAAGGTGGCCTGCTCCGCCCAGGCCTG